TGCAGAAACCAAAAATAGTGTAAATAAAATATATGAATGTAAAGCAGACAGCGATCTGTTGGTCACTGATTAAACCGGTTATTGATACCGGAAATTTCCTTGTCATCACCAATGAATGAGATATGACCCCACTGTTTCACAGGGAATAAACTTGGATTCGGTCTCCCCGTGCCTTTTAGTATCGCAATACCAAGCATAGGGAAGTCCCACAGTACTTTTGGAGATTGCGCTCACAACATGCTAGATGAATCAGTCCTTCTTGTGAGCAGATCACCGTTCAATCGATGTGAACTGACAACTACACATGTTGAAATAGAATGATCGGCTATTACCGAGTTAGCAACGGAACTCCAACAATCAATGAGACTTTTCATTAATACAGTCACAACAACAAAAATAACAACATCAACAACAATGCGCTATTGAAAAGCGAATGCGTTCGTCGCCGACGAGTATGCAAATGGGAGATCATCATCACGTCCGCTGAAAATTGGTAAAATTATTCCACGAAAATTGGTGGATTAGGACATTAATTTGTGTAACATTTTACAATTTACTCCATCATTGACCTCCTCAGCCATCAGTCACCAAGTCTGTTTGGTTTTCGTAAGACACCCCACTCCACTGCCGTTCCTCGACTTTTTTTTTCTCATGCGCAGTTTAGGCTTGTGAGGCGACAAATGGTACTCAGCTAAGACTGTACAGGAGATTTTGTAGAAGCCGTAAATCCTCGCAACCGAAGTGGTTCTGAGTACCGTTTCGCAACTTCACAAGACTTACGAGTGTCACCAAAATGAGATTTGTTAGCCAACATGAACAAGAAAAAAGGGACTAGCTAAAGTGCAAAATGCCCCACCGTTGCCTAATAGCGCCTTTTTCGCCTGCGTTACTTTTTAGCTGTCTGTCTTTCTCCTTTTCTTTCCCTCTGCTGTGCAACCTTCTCCTCTCTTGCTTTGGCTAACCTTGATTTCAAGTAGGCTCAAAATCGAAACTCAGACTTAGAATCCATTTCGAGCATGAGTGGCAAAAAACTAGGCTCTGAATTCAGCATTCTTGAGTAACTCCCGACAGGAGGGTCGTATTCGCTGGAGGAAGGAAGTCATATTTGCCCCAAAAGAGATCCTTCCGATTCCATACCCCTCCTCCCCTACAATGGCAACTGTTCTCCCGATTGTTTGCACCATTCCTTTGTACAAAAAATTATCAGAACAGTTCTTACAGCTAGTGCTAGGGAGAATGCTGCTCTAAGGTGTAATGATCCATACATCCCCGGTGTTCATTTAATTCAAAATCGTCTAACATAAGCAAGACAGTCGGCTACACTTAATTGTCACCAAAAGCAAAAAAGGGAAGAATTATGCACAATATAAGAATACGTGGAAATAAAACCGCAAATAAAAGACTTTATAAAAAACGATCCCAACTCACCGTGTCATCCTACTATACAGATGTTGTCGCTGAGTGCTACTACCGGAATTGAATTGGGGGACAAGGTCAGCGATGACATCACATCTACTTGTTAAATAGGCCAACTGCCGAGTCAATATAGAATCTAAGTCAATGCGTTCTTCCGCTACGCAGTTCACATTGATATAATTTTCCAGCGACTGAAAACATCAATACAAGTGATACGGGTTCTCCAGCCACGTTTGACACTATCCGACAGTGACTAAAAAGCCCTCACCTTCACAATGTGGCTACTGGCAGAAGAAAATGTCTGCTGTGGTGTCTCTTTAGTTCCGTTTTTAGTGAAAACAATACCGAAAAGTGGTAACTGCTTTGGATAGTCTACCGGTATCATGATATAGGCATGAATTCTGAAAAAAATGAAAAAGTTCCTGGGCATGACGGATATTTATGATGGCAAATACTAACAATGACTGGTATTCTCTAAGTGAAAGGTGTTCTATATAGTGTAGTTCGCTGCGGACGGTTGGGCGTGTCAGCGCAGCTGCGTTTGGCGCGGTGCCAAACTCGTTCTCCACCAGTTGTTGAAGCGGGCAAGTGACAATACTGTATCATATCCTTCGTATTACTCGTTTCTAGTGACATGTGTGTTCCAACAGGAAGGCAGAGAACAGCATGGACGGGGTGACACACTCATTCTGGCTGACACACCCCAACCCCGCAGCGAACTGTAGTGTTAATACCAATGGATCAAAAATTTCTCATATGTTATTGCTCCCAACCTGCGCCTTGATAGCTGGACTAGGTACACCCGCGGAAACGTTGGACAGAGGAAATTGAGAGGGAAAATTGCGCATCTGAAGAGCCGAAAAGTCCGGCGGAGTCTCGGGAACTGTTACACACATATAGCTTGGGACAAGAAGATGATTCCTCGATTCTTCCAGCTACGTGAAGTTGAACGGAACAATCAGAATCTTTCTTCGCCACTACGGAAATTTTTTGATTTTTCGCTAAAGTTATTTCCAGATTCCCTCTATCGATACGCATCCAAGCCTTTTCGCAAATGTTCGAATCCTAGCCATTCTGAGGTCGCCTCACAATACCTAGCAGGTCTTTTTCGCTATTTTGCAGGCCCTAGAAACTATCGGGATACTTTCGCTACACCTTTGTCTTCAGATACACTAAAGAACTTGTTTTCAAAGGAGAAAGAGGTCTTTGAACCCTCTCTCGATTACAACAGAATGAAACACTGCAACGAAAAAAAGTCTGTACAAGTCCTAGAAAACTAACAATCCATTTAGAGCTGATGTCCCTAAACGCTAAAAGGTTTTTTTCAATAAGGATGCAAGCCCTACACAGGCCAGCCAAGATGAGCCGCACTCAGCCTTTAGAGCCGGATAAGGGTTCCGAGGGATAAAAACTATTTCCGACGGTATGTCTCTCGTGTAAATTAGGAGCTACGAAAGAACCAGTTCGCCGATACAATACGATTTAAGCACAGAAGCCACGACCACGCTTTTAGGCGAGAAAAGCGATGACTCACTTGAGATCAAATAGCTTATTCAACAAAACCGCCGTGAAGTAGAACGTTCCCTTTTCGCGTGATGCCAGTATCCTCAACTCGGGTGTCACAGAAGACTGCAACAAATCAGAACCATAACGGAAGATCGTAAAAACGTTTACACGTTCATTTAGCATTGTTAAATTAATGAATGTCCATTAGCTCACCATAAACGTCTCCTCATCGATCATTTTGAAAGAAGAATATCTGTGTCACCATTTTCAGTGGAACATCGAATGCCCGTACAGCATCCATAGGTGATGACTCTGAAGAGTTGCTTCACAAAATAGTGGACCCACTTCAAATCTCAGGAAAAAGGACGTCCCGAAGTACACCTGGTGACGGTTGGGGAGGGTCTAGATCACAGAGCGAGAATGTGTATATCAGAGAGAAGCTCAGGAATATGCAAACGTCACCAGGTGTACGTCGAGATTCCCATTTCCGCCGTCCTGTATGAAGCGCATTTGATAGGGGCCAGTGTCACTTGTTAATTGGAAAATATAAAAATACTAACCTAGCTCGATCAACTGACGGACAAGTTTTACTCGCGCTCCCACTCGACTGCGAATAGCCTTCACAACATCATGCAGTACATCAGCCAGTTGTATGCCAGTGGTGTCGATTTTTGAGGTCGAATCTCCGCCAGGTAATGAAGCCGATCCTGTTAAGGCTTGCACGAACCGATACGGCCGGCCATACTTACTGGCAAAGGAATCCACACCAATCCTGAAATAAGTCGCAGGTTTTCAACATTCGCAGAGTGTGATCGCCCTTTTGTAAAAAAAAACTTGGTCAAGGACAGTCAAGAACATTACGTACTTGAGCTGAGCTAGTTTTGCAGCTCCAATGGGATTGGGACATTCCGTTCCATCGTCACCAGGGAACAATGAGTCAAGCAGATTTTCATGCGCGGATACACCACTGAAATTCTTAAATTGATTTCCGGCCACAGAAGCACCAAAAATTGCCAAACATTCAAACATTCGCCAACAATTTGTAGAACATACCCATGTGTCGGCAATTTGCCAGTAACCTTATACTTCATACACGTCACCCGCAGCTCTGGCAAATAGAACAGTTTCAGGGCAACCTTCACATCATCTGAAGCACTTTATTGTAGACCTCCTCGTTGAACTAATCGCCTTTACAATTACTGGGATCTTACCATGACATCCTATATCGATCTTGAGATAAATAGGATGTGGCTGAGTCACTGCTTTCTTGTTCAACTCCAATCGATCTGACACCACACTGTGTCGCTCATCATTGTCGCTGGTTTCTGAAACAATAGAAAGTAATACAACAACGGCAGAAATCATTAGGTTTATTGGGCGCATGCCGAACCTTCATCGTCGCTCCTTTCCTTCTCTTCGGTCTCCTCCTTCTGCTGTCGATTCAGTCGCAAAGCCTCACTGGCATCTCCACGAATGACTACGTGTAAGCTTGTATCTGAAACAAAAAAATGATGGAATACGGACTCAGAAAGTAACAGAAAAACTGCAAACTGGCGGTCTTCATGAAAATAGACTATTGTGATGATTAGTAGACCATAAGTAGAAATGATTATAATTCGTAATTAGATTATTTTTGGCCGCAGTATTCAGCTTCACAATACATGGATATTTATGCATTATAAAGAAACAAAGCCAGCACGGTCTGGGAACGCGTTCGAAGAACCTCTAGCAACAAAAGCTTTTGAACTTACCTAGAATGGCTAAAAAAATGGATGGACTTTCAGCTAAACCATTCAGAAGGTGGTACAACGGAAGCGTGATATCAAGGCATAGCCCTCCTATCTCGAAGCGAAAACGATAGACACACTGCTCTTTTAACGGTTATCGAATATCTACAGTTTCCTTCGAAAGTTTAGCAAGAATGTAAGAAAAAGTTCAAGAGTTAAAATTCAAAAGATTCCGCGAGTAATGGGTACACAGAAGGGGATAGCGGACTACGTGCCACTGATTTTTCTTTTTTCTTATGAAAATTGCAGAGGATTAATGGAACAAGATAAACAAGCCAAATCGCATATATTATACTTTGAATTAGAAAACAATCACCTTCCATAATATCTCTATACGCCTCTGCTTGAACATATAATACCGACAGGTCATGCGGAAGTAACGAAAACAGAGCCCGTTGTTCTGCTGATGAGGCCGAAGCATTTCCAACCCCTAGCGCCTCTTGCACGGGCTTGGCAGCCTGAAATACAGCAACCGAAAGATTATCCAATCAAAAAATATCCGATGGGTACCAAAAATGTCGACAGGTGGAGGTGGGAGGTCGCTATAAGGTTTACGAAGCTTTTTACGTTCTGTAGAACTAGAGTCCAGATGGGCTATTTTAGATGGAAGACTGGAATTCACGTACTGTTATTAACAACGAAATTTTTGATCGAAGACTTTTCAATCGTTGCTCCTTCCCATTAATGCTGCTGATGAGAACATTCCGACGTCCTTCTTGTTCTGTTAATGTATCGACCAATCTGAACAGTAAAATATAGCAAATCGTAATCACACGTAAAATATGGAAGTCATTAGTTATATTTATGATCTGTCGTGTAGCAAGCAACCGATGAAAATATTTCTGCAGAATCTCGGAAAGAACTCACGCTTTTCGTTGTGCGATCTCCCACGTCAACCTTGCTAATCGCTGTTCGTGTTCATTCGTTCTGGTCACTTCCGGGCGAGAAACTCCTTCAGGAGCATGGGCATAAAACTCCTCCAGTGGAACAAGATCGATATCTTCATCACCAGCGCTATACATACCACGTTTATGCATACTAGCCATAGAGAAGCAATAAAAGTGAACTACACAACAAAGAAAATAAAAGAAAATAAACAGCACTGGGG